TGCGGCAAACCTCACTCTTCTTCAGCATCATCAGGACCTGAAATGCATTATGTTGCAGCTTTATGCCTCTCCACGAGCCATAGATTTCACAGAGACTTTGTAACCACAGCAGTTACAATCCCTGTTTTTAGAACTCCAACAGCATTAACATTTGGGTATTCTTTTTTTCTCTTTCAAGCTTGTTGCTTTAACCTTTAAATCAACATTTCTGCAACATTGCAATGCTTTAAAATGAAATGCTAAAATGATCACCTAATGTTTCAACAGCCTTATCATTGATTCTGATTTTACATTTTGCCTAAGTTGAGAACTCTTGATTACCCAAGGTAATGCATGGGAGAGCTAGGAGGACAAATGAGAGATCTCTTAGAGAAGGTAAAAATAGAGCAACACAAGGTGTCTGTAGGTTAGGATTGTCAGCAGTGGTGTAATGGGGAGAGGGAAGGTCAGTGGCACGGGTTTCATCTCCAGTATGAAAGACTTCCCTTCCAGGGAATTATCCATAGCCTCTGGGCACTGATTATCCCAGAAACTTATCCCTAGGCTGTGCTGGCTCCTAGTACCATCCTTCTAACTGTATTCTGGCTTTTATCTCTTCAAAGTGTTTGAAACAGTGTGAGGTCTGTGTTGCAGCCTGGCATTTCAATGACATCACTGTGGGTACAAATTGCATCCATTGGGATGTGGCTTGGAGCCTGTTTGGGCATTTGAGGATACACAAGCTGCCAGATAACACTTTCCAGGACTGGGATGCAGGTAATGAGGACTTGAGGAGTCAGGGAAGTGAAAACTGTGTGAAGGTACTGATGTGTCTGTAGTGCTGACTCAAACCTGCTTGGAGAAATCATCCCCCAAATGTGCTGTACTGCTTCCAGCTGTGGGATGCCTCTGCAGATCTGTCACCCATCTTGTTGCTTTTAGGTCCAAAAGAACCACTAAGCCTTCGGCCCTTGTAGAGAAGCTGCTAGCGCTTGCAGGGGCCCTGTATTTGAACTATTAGCTGGCTGGAAGTGAGCTCCATGCTTTCCACCCGCAGCAGGGTAGTTCAAGAGTGCCTGGTGCCAGCTGGCCTGGCTGTCCCAAGCTGTTCCTAGCCAGCCTGGGGCGTGTTCTGCCCCTGGACTTCCCAGCGACTTCACTGGGGGTTGTCACTTGAAATCTGGGTTCACAAACCTCATCTCTCAGCTGCCCAGGCAGACTCCCTAGAGCCAACAGAGCTCATCAGTTGTTTTGAAATTATTATGCTTAGAGATGTTTTTCTTTTTCTTTTCTTTTTTTTTTTTTTTTTAAGGGAAAACCATGCAAATTTTTTCTCTTCCTTCTCCTTTCATTTATTTCAAAGCTTTCAACCTGCTGTGGTGTACTGGCCATCGTAGGTTTGTTTCATAGAGAGCACAGAAGCACTTCTGCAAGTGATAGTGATCTGAAAGTGATATCCACAGTGTTTCTGGTCTGGTTTCTGCGATTCATTTATCTGCAGCCTCTTCAGAGATTTCCTCTGTTCTGGCTCTTCTCAGACTGAGGTGATTTCCCAAGCATTCACAAGAGGCCTGGGTATTGTGACCTGCCTGAAACTGAGGAGTTCTGTTCCCCGCTGTGATTCCCCTAAGGTCGTGGTGTGACAGCCCAATTTCTGTGCCAGGCAAGCTGTCAAGAGCAGGGCCAACAAGCAGCCCTGACAGAGCCTGTCCTATGCCTGAGCTGCGTGGGAGTTTGTAAAGGTAGATGAATATTTAACATATCCCCAGACTTTGATCTTCCAGTTGTAGTCTAGATATGTCAAAAGCCCCATAAAATGAAACTGGCAGAGGTAGTGCTGCCTTTATATTCACTAATGCAGAGACTGCAGCACCTTCCTCATTTCAATTCATCACTGAGAGTCTTTATCACTAGGATGCTGGATGCTCATGCTGAAACTGCCTGGATCTGCAGGCTTTGCACTGAGTATCTGAACCACTTGGTTTACAGGCCTTTCTCTGATCTTCTGGATGCATTGGGGGTGCATGAAAAAGATCATGGCTGGCAGTTGGAGGGAGGTGGTCCTCCCGTTTTATTCTGCCCTGATGAGGCCATGTTTAGAATACTTTGTCCAGTTCTGGGGTCCCCATTTCAAAATACTCCTAGAAGGAGTCTAGCGGAGGGCCACAATAAATAAAGGGCCTGGAGCATCTCCCGTATGAGAAAGGCTGAGTAACCTGGGTCAGTTCAGCTTCGGGAAAAGAAGACTTAACAGGGGATCTGATAAATGTTGATAAATATCTAAGGGGAGGTGGGAGTCAGTTGGATCACCATCTTCTTGGTGATGTGTTGTGATAGGACAAGGAGCAATGACCTAAGACTTAAACATAGGAAGTTCCATACTAACGTGTGGAAGAACTTCTTTGCAGTGATGCAGCATTGAAACAGGTTGGCCGGAGAGGTTGTAAAAGTCTTCTTCTATGGGGATATTGAAGACCCATATGGATGCCTACCTGTGTGACCTATTGTAGGGAAATTGCTTTAAGAGGGGGGTGTGGGTTTAGGCAGGATCCATTTTTTCTCTTTCTGCAGTTACCACCCACGATGGTCCATCGCCTCTCACTGATGCTGTTGCTGATAGTTAAAACACCTATGTTTAGGTGCTGGAAGGAGATTTCCAGGCACAAGCCTCTGCCATATCCTTCTGCCCCATGCCTGTCAGTGTTGAAGAGGTGTTTGGACAATGCCCTCAATAATATGCTTTAACTTTTAATTAGTCCTGGTGTGGTCAGGCAATTGAAATCAGTAATCTCTGAAGATTCTTTCCAACTGAATTGCCTTGCCTCACCTCACTATGTTTTATTGCTCCCTATTTCACTTGCTGTCTGTTGTGACTTGGACCATAGACTTGTCATAAAAAGCAAGGCCATCCACTGTGGATAGTAAGAGCTCCTCTGGGATGCCAAGTTCATCAGGATGTAGTGCCTTCTACCCCGTGGCTAAAAATTTCCTCTAGGGAAATGTGGTTGGATTTCAGCTTTATGTATGTGAAACAATTTAGGCAGCTGGGAGAAGGTTGCTATCATAGCGCTCTGATGTGCTATAAGCCAGGTCTGATCTGCCTTCTGACAGCCAGGAGTGGCTGTGTGTGTGCATGGGCAAAGCAGGTGATGATCTGAGACAGCTGAGCACAACAGCACAGCAAATGTTTTCCTCCTGATTTTATCAGTCAAAGACCTGCTGGTACTCTGCCTGTTGTATTTGAGCAGCCCCTGCTGAGATTTGTACTTCAGTGGGTTTGTGTGCTCCCAGCAATACCTGAGCTGGGTATTTTAATGCTGATCCAGGCATGCATGTATGAGCTGCAGTCATCCTTGTTATGGCAGCATAAGCAGAATTCTGTATGCAGAAAGCTCTTGAAAGGAAAAACATACTGTAAACATCTGCGTGTGTGAGTATTGTCCCTCCAGAATCAGCACCTGAAGTTATGAGAGGAGACTTCTGTAGATGACATTAGTACTTGGCATTCTGAGCAGAATGTTGTGAGGTTACAACATGTCTCTCTAGAAAGATTGCTTGTACTGCAGTCTGCTAGATTATAGCTAATATAAAATTGAGATTTTTATAATAAAACTGTTACATTACAGCTTAGTGGATTTTTTTGGGGGGGGGGGGGTGTGGAGGGGCACATTCTCCTGAATCTCTTGATCCATGTGAAAATGTCAACATTAACATCTTTTTTTTTTTTCCTTTTTTTTTTTTTTAATAAAAATATAGCATTAGTTAATCCTGTATAGTATTTTGAGCTTTTCATTACGAGGAAAATAAGGTTCTGCTGTGTGGCAATCTTATTGTGAATGTGAGTTTAATGCTAGGGAAGCAGTACTTCATTGCTAACTGTAACTATATCTGTGACTGTTCAGATGAGGGAAGGGTTGGTACCTCTTTTCTTGCCAGTTTAGGCTGAAATATTGGAAATAAGGAATTTTTTCTTTCTTCTCAGAAAGAGTGGTAATGTATTGGAACAGGCTGCTCTGGGAGGTGGTGAAGTCACTGTCTCCCTGGGGGTGTTGAAGAATTGTGAAGATATGGCACTGAGACCCATGGCTCAGAGGGTAATATAGGCCAGTCTTCCTGTTCTAGATGTAAAACTCACGCAGCTGTGTCAGGGCTATAAAAAGTGACATATGAATGCTTTCTCTTGAAACCCTGATAGGACTTTCAGCTTGTTTGTGTAGTAGAAAGCCTTGGTGAAAGAAGGACTGGAAAAACATGCCAGAAGTACATAAATAACACTTTTGTCTAAGAGTATTTGTATAGACCTCTTAAATATCAACTTTTGATGGTCTTTTCACACAAATTCCATTTCTATGCTTTGTTTTCAAAAGATTTCTTCACAGCCAGGAAAGCCATTTGACATGTAAGCTTAGGTGAGGGTATGTTTCAGATGTGAATCTTCTCAGGATTTATGGAAGGCTCTGATGTAACTTCACTGCATGATACAGTGAAATACATCTCCATCCCACTCTCACTGAGTTATGTGAAGGCTATTGTGTCAGACAATTTACTGGGCACAATTTCAGTGCTCGGACAGATGGGATGTGAAATTTCAGGCCTGCAGGTTGGTCTCATCGCCTACTGAATTGCCTCTTAAGAGCACTATGCACTCCTAAGCAGCAGCTAAGTGCTGACATTTTTCAGTGCAAGCCCATGTACTGGATTTTTCTCCTTTGACCTTTCCCTGCCTACAGTGAGAAATAGTGAACGCAGAGTTGCCTGTCATTGACTTTACTTAATTTCTTTCTTGACTAAATTCATCCTGAGCTTTATCTTACCCACTGTAGCACCAGAACAAACTGCTGAATGTGACGCTACATATTTCACATATGCCTGTGTTACATGCAACCTGACACATCCTTCTTATGCTGTGTGGGTTATAGCATGCAAAAATATATTGTGTTCATAGAAAGATGTTGCATACGTTCAAAAACTGTTGAAAGTCTGTGGAATTCTTATAATTGTTTATTCATTCTTTTGTTTAGGAGTCAGTGACCTGTAAGTGCTCATTATGAAGACAGATCTGGTTTTCTTGGTGACTCTAATTAGCCTTGCCTTCCTGTCACTGCTAAGGTCTGGATATCCTCAACATATTGCAGAGGAGTCCTGCTCTGTTCAGATTCTTGTCCCAGGCCTCAAAGGTAATGTGGAAGTCTACTTCATCATTCAAATGCTAATCCTTTCTTTCTAACAGGCTCATTTGCACCATTGGTGGTTTCTAAACAAGACAAAAAAAAGTATGTTTTCTATTTGTCCAGTCTGTAGCCTCCTTATACATGAAGTTTCAATGTCCTTAAGAATAATTAGTCTGTTAAAATTAACATGGCATAAAGAATGCATGCCAAAGTTTCCCAAACTTACTCCTGATCATTAATGCTTGCTTTTCTGATATACATGGCCTAGTTTTTTTGTCTCTGTTTATACTCATGAGTGACACAAAGAGACTGTAAAGTCAGGCCCTGTGTTATACCTTGAGAGATTTTCATTGCCATTTTGCAGTGTCCTAATAGGAAGTATTTTGTATGTTATGCTCTTATACTTGCCTTCCTTTGGGCTAAATTTCCATTGGTTTTAAATGCCTGATTACCTTTTAGAGGAAGTCAAAAATTAAAGTTAGGTTTTAGCACTTTTACATTTTCTGTCAAGTGAAGCAGCATTTTTCAAAAATATTCCCCCAAACTATTGTGCAACAAAGATGGTATAAACTGTTGATCCTTCTGCAATTAAACATGTACTGAAGTACCTTAGGTAGGAAATCAACATTTAGGAGGAACTAGCATTTTAAAGCAACAACATCCACCATGGTGTGAAATCCCAGCCCCGTTATTAGGTAAATCAATAAGAGAGATGTCCATCATGGAGGCTGTGGTATTTCTACTGGAGCGTAATGTACCAGTTGAGAAGAACAGCACTGGTCTGTTACACCTTAGTCTTCAGAGGTATGACTAAGCCTTGAATAAATTTGTTTTGCTGAGACATTTGCTGCGGAATAAGCATAAAATAATAAAATCTTTATGTAATACAAAGAACAATACAACCAAGGTAAATATATGTTGTCCAGACTTATACAGATCATTCAAATGGTGACCATACCAATGGGAACCAGAGCTTTGAAATGGCTTATCAGGTCAGAGAAGTTGTGAGGCTTTGACAAGTTTTGTGACTACTTTGCCTTAGTTTCCCTACTTGTGTAATCCGTCAAAATTAACACCTTTAACTATGATTTTTATGAAAGGGCCATTATTGCTGTTATATGTAGCTTAGTCTTTTTTTTTCTTAGAACATTTAAGCAGTACAATAATAATCTTGGCCCTTTGCCAAAAGGAAACAGCGCAGAAGGCTGAAAACCATCGCGTGCCAATGGTTTCACTCTGCTTCATGCATTGAAGGCATTGCAGAAGTGAAAGAGATTGATGTACAAATTTAGTGAAGCACAAAATGGCTTGATGCAGCCCCAGTTGATGTGAAGTCTCTAAAAAGCTATCAGTGCCCCAGCTACACTGTCAGGGGGCCTGGCACTGAGCATTGGTATTGAAATACTGCTGTACCCTGCTGGCACAACTCCAACCCATTTCAGTGGCCAAGCCTTACTTTCAACTGAGCGCTGATGTGGCTGTGTGCCCAAATTTCAGCTCCCCCACAACGGGGTTTTCTCACTGCAGCTGTTAGATTTCCCCCTGCTCCTTCTTGGCTGAGCAAGATCTGCAGAGATGGAGCAACAGAACCCTGCTCCACTGCTAGGCATGAGCTAGATGGGACTTGGGAAAAAGGAGGTACTGGGAATCTGTGGGAGAATTAATGGAGACCATGGATTGTGTGAAAAGTAAAAAGAGAAGGTGGAGGTGATGCAGAGAATGGAGCCCAACTGGCGCCTGAGGGAGAAAGACACCAGGAAAAAACATCCAAAGTAGGGGAGTGAAATGAAGAAATTTTAGAAGAACGGGAAGAGATAAAGGGAAGGAGAGAAGAAGGGCACAGAGAATGAGAATGAGCAGAGAGGCTGGAAACTGGAGAAAAAAAAAGACATAATAAAATAACACAAAGCCAATTAGGACCCTACAGAACAAAGGATGTCGGAAGGGGAATGAGATGAGAATGCAGGTGGAAATGGAAAATGAAGAAAGCCAGTGAAGAAACCCAGAATAGAAAAAAGGCACAAATGAGATTAAGGTCAGCAGCTTAGGTCTGGGACTGATATATTTTTTTGCCCCCTAAAACTTCAGCTGTATAAAGGAGAAAGATGAAATGAAGGAGGGAAAAGTACTATGGCTCTGAGAATCCAGACAACAGAATGATCTGTTTTTTAGAAAACCAATAGTATTAATAATGGGAAAGTGCATTTTGTGTGAAGCAGAAATGGATAGCGGTGTCCTGATGTATTGCTTACTACATTGTAAAGAAAAAACATTACACGGAAAAATCCTTTAAACCCCTTTTTTTTTTTTTTTTTTTGGTCATCTTCTTTTGTCTCCTTTCCATAATCAAGCAGGAATTATCTCTAAATTGAAGAATTGAAGAAATACGAGTTTGAAGGCTGAACTGTTTGGTGGATAAAGAGTTGTTTGGACGGCGGTCATAGCCAGAGGGTTTCTGTCAAGGGTTCTCTGTTCAGATGGAGGTTGGTCAAAAAGTGGCATCCCCCATGGATCCATGTTGGGACTGCTGGGCTTGTTTAGTTTGGAGAAAAGAAGACTCTGACGAAACCTCATGTGGCCTTCCCGAACAGAACTTAGAAACAGGAGGGGGATCAAATTTTTGTGCTCGCTGATAGTGATAGGACAAGGGAGAATGGTTTTAAAATAAAAGAGTGGAAATTTAGTTTAGATGTTAGAAAGAAATTTTTCACTCAAAGAATGGTGTGGCCCTAACACAGGCTGCCTAGAGAAGCTGTGGATGCCTCATCCTCGAAGGCATTCAAGGCCAGGCTGGACGGGGCCCTGAGCAGCCTGATCTGGTGGGTGGCAACTGGCCCACAACAGGGGGATGGGGACTAGATGGTCCTTAACCTAAGCCTAAGCCATTCTGTAATAATTATCCAACCTAAGCCATTCTGTAATAATTATCTTACTCAATGACATACAATTCACAAAAAGTTAATGCTACATAAATAAAAAACAATATTCTTTTTTACACCCTTACTTGATGATACTACTCACACAGAAGTAATGGAAGGCAGTTAGCATCAGCCAAGGAATGCTTAACAGCTCATGTAGTTAATATTTGGTGTGCTATTTTTATTACAGTAGATTGTGTCACTTGAAGTAGGAAGAATGCAAACAGAATCAGAGACAAACCCTGTCCCAATGAATTCACAAAAGCAAAATGACAGCAATAGTAAGATTTACTGTATGAACTATCAGAGATCACTCTCAGTGATGACAGTATGGCGCAGTATCAGACTTGCATCTGCTTGCTAGGTCCTGCTGCCCCTCAGTTCAGCATTAGGGCTTGATTTCTTCTGGGATTGTGGGGCATCACAGTACCATGGAGCACTGCTGGGCATCTTGTCCTGTCACTGCAAAGCACTGGGAGATGCGCTGTGTGCATGTGTAGCGGGGCTGGGGCACAGGAGGCAGGGGCAAGGAGGATGCTGAGCAGGAGGAATGGCTGCAGCTGGATAAGGAAGCCACAATGCAGCTACTGAGTGGGAAGTACAATTGCATGACCCCAGCCTCTTGCACTGAAGGGACAGTGACTGTCCAGAAACCAGAAAGGGGACTGGAAAGACTATGTATCTTTTTCAAATTTTAATTATTTGTTTATTTACTTACATAAGTCAGTATTCAAAAGTGAGAAGTTGATGTTAATTGCTGATACATAATTTCTTTTCTAAAATTACTTAGTGAAAACCCCCTTTTTTTTTTTTTTTTTTTTTTTTTTTTTTTTTTGCCCGTGACACCTGCACAATGGTCAGTGCACATACAGCAAAAACAAGGGCATAGCACTGCAAAGCTAAACTGGCCACTGCTCAGTTCTTGATAGCAAAGGTCTTGCTGCATAAAACAGCTGATAACAAAAACTTGCTAAGTAGTCTGTAGCAGGACCTGTAATGGGGTAATCTCTTCACAGGCAAAGTTTCTTAAACACTCTCACTAAGGAATGCGGTGTCATCTTATTATAGGAATAAATGCAGGCAAGTGTAATGGCCTGAAGCAAGAGTGATCTATTTTATTGATCCCTAATGTGCAGCTTTCACTCTGAAGAACGTGTAAAGCAATAGGCTGTAATAGCCTGCTCTGAGCCTCCAGAGAGCAGGGAAAAGTCATTGTCAGGATTTATCTTTGGGAAGCAAAGAACTCATAACCAGCCCTGAGGAGGGAAAGACAATCATACAGAACCTATTGGTTACTTGTTAATAAAGAAGTGGTGCTCCCAAATGTGCCAAATAATAGCCTGTTTCCTACTAACAGTATTATTCGCTGGGGATTATGTGGAGTTTGTCCTCATTAAGGTCAGAGAATGGCCTATTTTTGCATGTCTGAAGACAGGAGAGTTGGTCTGGAGCTTGCTGGCAGCCTGAAGAAGGAAACAGATGGAGGGCTGAGCCACCTATGTGTACAATAAGGAGTGAGTGCCGGAGGCTGCGAATCAGAAATGTGCAATTTCAGCTTGTTTTTATGTGTCATTTTTATAGTCCTTCTCTAAAATGTACCTTCCAGCTATGTCACAGAGCTTGAGGGGAACAAGATAACCACTGACCTTCTTGTTATGGTGCTTGCTTTGGCTTCCTCAAGGGCAGCTGATGCTCACTCTCCTCTCCTGTGCTACAGAGCTGTTGTGCTAGCTCCAGATTTTTGATCCTAATATTTTCTTTTCTGTGGAAGCTGTAGAAGTTTCTGTTCTTTTACATACTCTATTTAATAAAGATAGTTATTTAAATTGTTGTCTTAATTTCAGCTGGGACAGAACTGTTTCCTTCAGGGTGCCTGGTGTGATGCTATGTTCTGGTTTTAGGAGAAAAAAAAATGTTGATAATACACTGATGGTTATAGTTGCTGCTTTGCGATGTTGTACAGAGCAAAGGCTATGCTCAGCAAGGGGTCCACGTTGCTGGTAGGGAACAGAATAAGCTTAGCTGTTTTCAACTGGCCAGTGGGATATCCCATACACATATCCCGTGTGACATCACATAGAAGGAGTTTTGAAAGGAGTGGGAGTTCATCTTTTTCTCTTCTGCTGCTTGGGTGGGTAGCTGAGGATCAGTTGTGCGATGATGAGCAATTGCTTGTGTATCACTTGCTGTATACGTTTGTATAAACATGTATATAAATAGTCATAATATTATCCTTTTCTCTATCTTAGTAAGTAGATTTATCTCAACACATAAGTTCTTCGTTTTTTTTCCCCGTTCTCTCCCCTTTTCCACTGGAAAGGAGTGAGTGAGCGAACAACTGTGTGGTGATGAGCCACCTGTCAGGTTAAACCACAGCAATCATTCTTTAAATTTCTATTTGCCTAAGAGTTTTCTAAATTTATGTAAGTGGAAAACAACAATAGTAGGGGACAAAACAGTTTATGTGACTCCAATGAAAGACAGCAGGTAGGCACACTGTATGGGAACTGTTGAGTCATGGCCTGAACCACTGATTGATCACCTGGGAAAAGGACCCAGTCAGCCCTGGGACACAGGTGAAGGCAATTCAGCTGTGTGACTGGAAGGAGTGGAGCCTGGCTGCAGCTCTCTTAGACCCCATTTTAGGGCTGACAGCTAGCTGGGGAAGGTTCTCTGGTTGGAGATCCTTCCTTGGTGAAGCTTTCCCCTGTGAACCTGGAGTCTTCTGATACACGTGAGCAATCTTCTTCCTTTATAGCACCTTTCTATCATGCTGATCCTTCCATCATCACACTTTTGTTGCAATGCCTTTCCCATTGTATTGATCTGTCCAATTGCTACATACATATTTTTATGTTTAAATATGCTCAATGCATATAATGTGACACAAGTCTTGTGAATATAGTTAGTGATTACTTTGTGGTGATTCAAACCGTGACAATCAGAAGGCGTGATATATATATGTAAGTGAGAATGCAGATTAAATAGACAGTTTTCCACACTTAGAAATGATCCAGTAAATGATGGATGTAGCAGTGCTATCCTATAGATTTGTTCTCACTCAGTACTTGATATAAACTTTTTTTTTTGGTAATTTTAAGTTATGACTATGCCATTTTCACTTGGGACTTAAACGTGTCCTCTGGTATTCTTTGCTATAAAGAGGCAATATTTGGTGTGTACTGAAGATGTGCTTGGTGAATGTGGAAACAGGAGGTTATGTGTTGAGTTGAGGCCTGATTCTGAGGCTTTTTCTTAACTAAACTGTAGTGTTGTCATTGTAGTGTTGACTGGAGCCTTGAGGGTTCAGTAACTTATTGATTTTGGTTTTGTCAGTGTCTCCATTCCTTGCAGGAAAGTCTATTCTCTGTGCTTCAGAGCTCTCAAGATATGTTTCACTTGTTTTTATTTTTTCTCTTTTTAGTAGGTTTGTATTTTCAGCACGGAAAATGACGCTCTTGTCACTGACCCCAATAGAAAATAGTTCTTTTTTTTTTTTTAATATGATTCTTCTATTTATTTCTTTTTATATTAATAGGGGAGGCCGGAGAAAAGGGGGAGAAAGGTGCTCCAGGTCGTCCAGGTAGAGTTGGCCCTCCAGGAGAAAAAGGTAACATTTTTAAAGAAGATATTTTGAAATTAATTCCTTACCAAATGCTGCCTTTTCTTGTAAGGCAATGATGATGGGCACCCTCTGCTGGATGATTAAGCCATTCTTAGATGTTCCCATGTACCTTATAAGCTTATTTGTAAACTAAATTTTGCTTTCAGGTGCAGAAAGTTTTGGAAAAAATGTTTTTTCTTTCTTTCTTTTTTTTTTTTTTTTTTTTTTTTTTTTTTTTTTTTTTTTTTTAAAGTATCATAATGCCCACTGTAAATGCAATCCTCAAATTAAGGCAGAGAGAAGAAATCACGAGGTTTGCTTTCCTTGTTTCCTTCTGTTTGTACATATGAATATTCTCAGCGCCTTAATTAAAACCATTGTGGGAAGGCATTAAGCCATAATAGGCAGGGATGGCCATCATTGATTTCGCATTTCTTAGACCATAGTTCAGTGATATTTATGGGAAGATGGTATTAAAACTGTTCATGTTGTAGTTCAAAAAATATTTTGAGCTCTTGAGAGGAATGGAGTTCAACAATATTAAGTTATAGAGCTAGGAGAAAGAGCATTTCTATCCTACAAGAAATTCTGTCTTTTCACATTTGTTCTCCTCCTGAAAAAGGGAAAGTTGACCTTCAAATGTTCTCCAGGAGATGCATATACTATAAAAAAACACATTAGGAGTGGTCAAAACCTTTTATTTAAATACTAAAATGAAACATTTGACATTCCTATCATTAGAATGTCCGAGTTCTTACCAAACTGAATTTGCAAGCCTCTTTTCAAAGCCATCACAGTGGTAATTCATCCTTCCTTTCAGTGATGTGTATTCTGTTACAAAGTACTTTTGGGCAGATACGGAAATCTTATTTCTGTGGTCTCCCTTGAGACCAAGAACCATGGGTAGAGCTCATCCCCTAAAATTCATTGAGAAACTTACAACTCCCAGAGGGGTGTGTGCGTGTGTGTGTGTGTGTGTGTGTGTGTGTGTGTGTGTGT